ATGTATGTATGTGTATGTATATATCTATATATGTATATCAATATATATATATATATATATCTATCAACATATATAAACATATATATTATTTATTATTTATTTATTTATTTATTCATCTATTAATATATATATATATGCTTATATATATATATATATAAATCAGTTTATCTATATATCTATCTATTTATATATATAAATAATGTAAGTATATTTATATATATATGTATATGTATACGAAAGTAGGCACAAGCATAAACGCACACAAACACATGTCATATATATGTATATGCATGTATATATATATATATATATATATATATAATATAAGTGTGTGTGTGTATATGTATATATATATATATATATATCTTCATTTTCTCTGGATCGCCACTCTATGTGCTGCCCAGTTGATATGAGCTGTTTTGTCCCACTGTGTGCCTACCAGGCTAAGACTCTGATGGGATGGCTGGCTTGCGTGCGCCACTCATAAACTCTAATTGTTTGAGTCCACCAAATCTGGATATGGGAAGTGGTATACCCCTTCGGGTATTTTGCATCCATTGGCCTGTGTGTGCTCATATATACACCTGAGTGTGCAGATGCTGCCCTACGCACCCGCGCGTGTCCTTGTGTGCTTACTCTTTCATCCGCCTCCACACAAATATCCTCACGCATGCTCGTACGTCGGTTGCTCTTAGGAATACTATTCCGGGTGTGGGATGCGATACTCTTCGATGGCGATGAGATGATGTTCCGGGTGGCTCTGGCAATCATCACTATGCTGGAACCTCAGTTGCTGAGCACCAAAAACTCTCTGCAGTTCTATGAGCAGCTCAAAGAGCACACGCACGACTTTGGCCTTACAAATGTCATTAACTGTGATGATATGATCAAGGTTGGCACGTATAAATATGCTTATTTGCATATTACATGTGTAAATATATATATATCTATTATTTTTATTGTATGTTTTGAACCGCCGATGCTCAGTACATGTTGTACACTGTAGTCTCCTGAAAAGTTCAAGGAGCACACGCTCGACTTTGGCTTCGCCAACGTCATTAAATGCACGATATGATCAAAAATGGCTAGAGCATGTCATACACACGTATATATATATATATAGATTGTGACTGTTACTTTTCAAATTCTCAAGCGTTCCCGTTTGTTCATATTTTTGACCATTCATAGCATATCTTATACGTTCTCCTCTACTTCTGTGTACTCGCTAACCTATTGAAATCCCTGAAACTCAAATGACTAATACAGTACATCTTCTCACTTCTATGGTTCAGCTGGCCTACAATATGTATCCTTTCCCGCTACCAAGGCTTGCTGAGCTCCGAGCATCTATGGCTAAAAAGCGGTCTGCGGTAAAGCCGAAAGCAGCGGAGAAGCCCGCTTCAGAAAAGGTCAGAGTTGCGCTTGAATTCGAATATAGACCCGCATATATATAGCTTATGATTTGCAAGTGTGATGTGTTCACAATCACTGGTGAATGCGGCCCTGACTAACTACATTTTGATTCTGTACTTTTTGTGCGAAAATAGGCAGCTAGCCCGGGATTTCTTCGAAGGCTATCATTGAAGCTGGACGGCACACTCGATTCGATTGCACAAGAAACTCTACCGGCTACGGAATCTAAAAATAGCACGGAAGCTGACTCAGAACCACAGGCTATAAATAGCGCGGAAGAAGACGCCTCATCGCAAGCGCCATCGCAAACTCCCACGCAAATTCAATCGTCACCAAAAACGCCAACACTACCAGACATAGCGACAGATACAAAGTCGGGGGGAGAAACTCAGGAAGCGGTGGTTGACGTCAAGATGGCAAGTACGGACAGCGACAACACCACCCTGCAGAAGGTACGTAGAGACCGGTGTCAGGTTACCGCTAATCATGGCGCACATGTATATCGCGTGTTTTCTTTCTGGTGAAGTGTAGAGACAGAGGGTTTTAGGTAATGATGTTCGTGGATAGGCGTGTGATTGGGGATTTCAATATAGAACATGACTTGGTAGTTCTTTGTTCATTGCTAGTGCGGGTGTATGTATTCATATGCTCTACGTTATCGAGTACCACGTCTGGTTTTCAAAAACCAATTTTCTTTCACGAGTTCATACACATACACGTATGTAAACATACGCATGCGAATTCACAGACTAGGAGCTCGGAGAGTGGCAAGAGCACACAGAGCACCACCAGCGGTCGAAGCCTGCATAATCCGAGCAGCCAACGGAGTGCAAAAAGCACTAAGAAAGATGAAAGTAGCGATTGCTCCAATATAAGCTGAGGGTATTCACTAGATAGTATTAACTAGTATTAACTCGAGTTAAAATAAAAGTGAAACAGTTGTCGTACGTTGTAGGTGGTCTACGCCACTCTACGAGGAAGCTGTGTAGTGTATGGTCTATAGCGAGCAACGATGGGTAGCATAGATTCCGAGGAAATAAATAGATCAATTTGTAGCGTGTCGTTAGCATGAGGCAATGAATAGGTCTGTGACTACACACATACTTAGTCATATTAAACGCTCATCAGATATTTATATATATATGTGTATACAGTTTATTGTGTTTACCCGCTCTTCATTTAGTACTTACACATACAGTGCACACGGGAACTGAGAGACGACTACCCTAAATCATATATGGATTTGGAATATATACAGATTATAAGCACTTCATTGCGTCCAACGAGTTCGCGAAAACGGAACTTCAGTTTGTCATTGCTATCAGCGTTCACCGACAGCAAAGTACATACAGCGGCGCTCCAAACTAGTCCCTCTCCAGGCTCGCATTCGACAATGTTATGGCCCACAGTGAACACATTCTCGACCACGAGACAGTAGCACGTCACCGAATTGGATTTGCCTGCGATACCGATAGGTTTATCGTATCACGGTCTGTCGATCAAAAAGCGAAAGCACCAATCTCCCACCCTTGTATAGTCATCATTTTGGTAGCCGATCTGGTTTCCTGAAATGGTATGCTAAAGTTGAAAATCAAGCCTGGTGATCCCAGAGCCAGCGGCAGCGTCGTGACTCGTGACGTCGTACACGAGTTCCGGCTTATTCACGTACTCCTCTAGATAGGTGCACCAATCGTCTCGCTGCAGGACGGTGTTTAATTTCTTTCTGGACACGCATCCAAATTGTCGCGCTTTAGAAGTTTAGGGTGGAGTGTCACTTTCATACCACACAACGCACCCGGGTAGTCCAAGGCCATACTATTTGCATTATACATTTATCGTCGTGAGATGGGAGCCCACAGATTGCATGTCAGCGCAAGCCGTACGGCACAGTGGGTGGGGTGGGTGGAGGCTGTTGGTTCCTGTAAGTCTCAATTGTAGTGTATACCACACTTGCGCCGGTTGTATTTGTCACGGCTAAATAGTAGTGGAGGGCGGAGGATGTGGCCCTGCGGTTGTGGGGGTGGGGGTGGGCGCCGGCGACTATTGTCCAACATCTTGAGAACGGTCGAAAGAAATAAAAAAAGGCCATCCGACTGCGAATTCGCAACAGTTGAAACTTGAAAAACTCGCACGTTCTGTGAAAACTAACATTGTAATGTTTTTTTAAAGTAAATACAAACGAAATTTACCAAAAAGGCAAAGGCCTGTGCGGTTCATTTGCCAATGTGCAGCAGGCTAATTAAATAGCAGTGCCGAGTGCCGACTGCCGAGTGCAGAGTGGCGAGCGCAGACTGTTGCAATAATAGTTCTGTTACAAAAATACGATAAAAAAGGATAAAAGGAGAACTTTTCAGTTAGATCTTGTCCCCTTCTTCAAGACTACAACTTGGCAACTGCAACCCTTCACAACAAGAGAGAGCAGATGTTCTGAATTTCTGTGCCTATGAGTGTATTTATGTGGAATTTAATCAGTTTATGTGTTTATTCATACGGTGTGAAACTGTAAAAGTGTAAATACATATAAATAAAAGCCAGCTGTTGACAGTTGACTCACTTGACACATATATGTTGATCACCGCCTCGGCGCCTGATGATTGATGAAGTGTCAGAAGTGATGATAATAATATTAATTTAACCAAAAAAACAATACAATTTTTTTTTTAAACTACGTTTGTTTTTGTTTTTGTCTTTTGTATATACAGTCATACCTCTTTATATGTCCACCTCTTTATGGTATCTACCTCTTTATATGTCCAATTTCTATTTTGGCCAACCCCCTATATGTGAGTCAGGTCTTTTTAGACCGGTCCGGCAGTCTGCTCTTGGACGTCCGACTATTAATATCACTGATTGGAACTGAGCTAATTAGGAGCGCTCTAATTGCTCTTTTATAAATTTGTGTTATTCATCATAGTGCTTCGGCCATCCGGTCACTGCGGTCAGACCGTCAGAGGGTCGATGAGACTCAGACTCGGGGGTCATTCGTATATTTATCTTTTTTTTATTAAGTTTTTACATGTGTGAATATTTCGCCTTTCACCTCAGCTTGACGGTAGCTTTATCTATAATACATCCACTAGAGTACGTACTACAATAGATCCTGATGGGAGACACTTCTAGTGGTGAACGCTGTTGTGCGAAAGGATGCACTACAACGCACCCAGTGGGTGGTGTATATAAATGTGCTGGTTGCGATCGAAGTATGCATGCCTTTTGTGGCGTGCATCTTGGTGAGGGGTATGGCTCAAATTCAATCGGTTACTGCCTGTCTACAGATAAATGCTAGTCACCGGATGACATGTGGGAGTCTGGTTTCACTAATAACAGACAGACAGAGCCAGACGAATTGACACAAAATGCACCTACAACGATAGATAAGCTCACTGTTGGTAAGAAGAAGAAAACATATAAACAGACTGTATTATCAAATGTGAGCTCCAATACAACAAAAAGAATCAATCTAACAAACAAAGTTAAAGGTGTCATCGTGCGTACAATCCAGAAAGTGGGATACAACTTAGACCTATCATGGAAAGACAGCTATCGTAAGGATTTAGTTAAGGAGGCCATTCGGCGTTAGTATCAAAACAATAAGAAGGTTCATGGAGTCTGGAGAGAAGATACTCAGTCAGTCTTATGAGGTACATGCAAAAAAAAGAAATATCGAGAAAGGAGAGGAACACACCACGAGTTCGAGAAGCGTTTGAATGAGTGGGTCGGTAAATAAGGGTAGAGAAGCTGGTTTTAGTGCAAGTCGGGGCTTGATCGTCACGAAAGGGAAGGAGTATTTAATGAGAGCGCCTAGAATACCTATACTCCCATAGGTTGGACCCCGAACCTAATGGTATGAAACTGACCCAGACTTGTCTTACCTCTTTATATGTCCAAATATTTGCCAATCCCGGGAACTGGACATATAAAGAGGTATGACTGTACATATGTTTTTTCTTTCTTTAACAAAAGCAATATCTAAAGCATTTTGTAAATATTTAAATACTTTTTTAATACTTTTTTATTTGTTTTTAAAACAAAAACATAAAAACTCAAAATAGTTGCAGTCGTATTTATGTACTGTTGGTTTTAAGAAATCGTTTTCCAAAACAAAAAGTATAAAATACATATTTTTATAAAATAAATATAAAAATAAATGGTACAAATTCATTATGTATTTTAAAAATCGTTTATATTTAAAATTTATGTACAGTATTCTAGATAATATTCCATACTGATTGGAGAACAATGGAAATCAAAATTCGACGAGCACGATATAATAAAAGCAGTTTCTTGAACTTCTTACCATCCAATCCGATTCTATTGATTATAACAATAAAACATAAAAACGTTAAATATTTAGTCCTACAGACGTTAGTCCGTTCAGCCATATTTTCTTTCTTCTCACTCTAAATATTTAATTTTTAAAATAGTAGAGGACTAGAGGCCAGAGGGCCAGGATATTTATTTATGTTTTCTTTAAAACAAATCATTTTAGCGCCATAGCCTTCTGAAAATACATTTGTTTTTTATATATAAAACAAATACACTGTTTTATGTAGATATGTCATATTTATTTATTTATGAAGGCTGTCGCCTGTCGGCGGCAGTCCGTCAGCTGTCGGAGTCGCTGCGATTCAGAGCTGATTAGCTTCAGACTTCAAGTTCAGACTTCAGAGTCCAAACTCAAAACTTCAGACTTGAGACTTCAGACTTCAGTTTTGTAAATACATAGTACATGAGTTTGTGATACCCAATTTCAGTCTTCACTGTCTTCTGACTTCAGTCTTCACTCTCCATTACTCATATACAGACTTTCAGGCTTCACACGCTAAGTTCACTCTGTTTACTCTTGTGAGTACTGTGACTCTACTCTTGAGTCTTGTGCTTCATTGTCGATTCATCAGACTTCAGAAGTTCAAAGTATAGAACTATTGAATGCAGCCCATAATGATAATAAGTATGGAATAACTCTCTTTACAATCAAAATACATAGTACATACCTTCTCTCTTTTCTTCCCTCTCTACTCTCTCAGTTTCTCACTATAGTTATATGGATTTTGGAAGGCTACGCTATATGACATAAAGTACTACTATTTACTACTAGCCTTTAGTGAGACAGAAGGTAGAGAAAGAGAGAGAGATCGTAGAGGCGTGGACTTTGAAAAATAGAGAGTCTCTTTATCAGCTTATCTCTTGATGTGTGAGAGAAGGATGACTCATGTGAGTGGACAACATGGTGACAACTTATTACGTATGACTTTTATGAATTGTGAGTTGTGAGTTGTGGCTATGTAAATAGTTTATCTTTTATCATGAGTTCATTTTATCCATATTCGGAATTCCAATTGTATCCTGTAATATGAATAAAAGCACCAAAAATGGAAATTCATAAAAAAATAGATAATATATATCCCAGTCGAGGACTCGGAGAGTGCTGCACTATCATTTATTTTCCACTAGACCAATTTCCTGATGTATTTTGAAATATAAAAGGTAGCTATCATTCAATAATATTCGTCAGACTGTGGTTATTTCAGGACTGTACATTCGCTCCGGTCGAAACAAAATCAATCCTCGTTTATAATGGTATGTAGGTATATACAAGATGTATAGATAAAGAGAGAGATATATATATATATATATATATATGTGTGTGTGTGTGTGTGTGTGTGTATATATATAT